GGACGGGTCAAACATCAGGAGGATTATGTGACGGTTTGGATCAAAATGAGATCAAATCAGGAACATCGGCAAAGAAACAGAGTTTTTCTGTCACTCCTGAGTCGACACGTTGGATCGTTTCAGTATCAACCCAAAGGTCTGGTTCGGTTCTGACCCAAAGGCCTGGTTCGGTTCTGGTTCGGTTCTGACCCAAAGGTCTGGTTCGGTTCTGACCCAAAGGCCTGGTTCGGTTCTGGTTTGGTTCTGACCCAAAGGCCTGGTTTGGTTCTGGTTCGGTTCTGACCCAAAGGCCTGGTTCGGTTCTGGTTTGGTTCTGACCCAAAGGCCTGGTTTGGTTCTGGTTTGGTTCTGATCCAAAGGTCTGGTTTGGTTCTGATCCAAAGGTCTGGTTTGGTTCTGATCCAAAGGCCTGGTTCGGTCCGGTCCAGATGGCCGGCGCTGATCGGACCGAGTCCTGGCTGCACTTTAAGAACAGCTGCAGCACAAAGAGACGGCCGACACCGCGGAGCGATCCGCCGGGTCAAAGGCTCGGCCGCCCGCCAGCCATTGTTGGGTCTTTCGGGGGTTGGAGGGGGGCCTGTTATTTCTGAGCAGGCATGCAGTCGGCGCCTCGTCTGCCCTGATGCTCAACTCTGGAGTATTTCCTGTCCAGGAAACAATAGCAGCCAGCGGCTCGGAGTCGGCCTGAAACTGCAGGTCAGCAGCAGAAAGCAGCTGAAGGAGATCAGGCAGCAGGACAGGAGGGCTTTACATCACCGCCGGAACGCGACAAAACTTTCTGTATTTTCATAGAAACAGGAGCTGAAACCAGCTTCTGTTATGGTGAGAAAACAGGAAAACATCTCAGCTGCCAACTTTCACTAAACCACCATGGCAGCTTGGAGGGGATGAAGGAGAAAGGCTCCTTTGCAAGTTAGATATTTAATTTGAAGGTAAATATTTAGCTAGCAGGCTTTTCCCTTTGGGATCAATAAAACTATGTATATTACATTCACCAAACCCTTTCTGGTCCCATGTATGAGGCGGAACTGATTTATTCCCAGATTTTATGGAGGGAAATGTGACTCAGCATCTCAGCCATAGAGAAACATGGAGCAAATGGAAATGAGTTTAAAAACATTTCCTGATGCTGGTAATTTGGTAGAAAGGCTGTGAAAGTGTCTGCAGAGCAAACATTCTTCCTGTGTGAGAAAACTGTTGAAAAACAACATTCCAGTCAGAGAGCTGGGAAGGAATTCCCACATTCCCAGTCTGAGTAATCAGGTTTCCCAGTCGATACCCGCTGCAGCGTTTCTGTGATTAATGTTCAGATCAGAGGGAAAACATCTTTGTTTCTGCGGCTCAGCTCAGCAAACATCCATCAAACACGCAGAAATTCCTCCGCCACATTCTGGCCTCTTATGAAACACTTCCTGCCCGGCCCGGGGCCGCCGGCCGCTTATCAGCGCGCCTCAGCCCGGCCTCTGATTGGACCGCAGCCGCCGCCGTCACATGCTGTGTTCGCTGTTAAAGAACAAAATAACAAAAAACAGGCTGATAAGTGGCGACCTGCTTTCCCCCGGCTGAGGTCGGGAGCGAAGCCCCAGGCGGTCCATTCAGGCCCGACACCAAAGGTCACATTAGACGGGAGACGTTTGAGTCCAGAATCACGTCCTCTATGTTCTACCCTGCGAACCACGGACGGTTACTGTCCCTTTAAGAGACCATTTATCACCAAACATCTACTTCCTGTTTCATGTCTTCAGACGTTGCTTCAATATTTCCACATTATATTTTTTCAACCCCACAGCATGACACTGCCACCTCCTTTTACAAGGACCTTAAACTCCTTAAGCTGCAAAGATTTAGGAAAAATAAGTTTCACTAATGTGGGACTCCAATAAAGCTTTTAATCAAGTTCATTAATTAAAATCGAAAATCATATATCAATAAAACAAGCAACATTTTCAATTCAAAAACCATTTTTTCAATCATCAAATGTGGGCTGTGGATGCTAACATTAGCATTAGCTACATGTTTAGCACTGAGATGCTACCTTAGCCTAGCATACCTTCTCAGGTGGGCTAACTCCTTTTAGCCCAACTTGAACAGAGCAATATTCTTTCCTAGCGTCCAATCAGATCACTTAGAGAAGCAGAAATTAAACCTCAGTGGGCCGAGAGAATTTGATGTTTTTGTCCGACCGTCGTCGTTAGCAGACGTGCATCTGATTTACAGGCGTACCAGAAACACATGAATACAAAGGTTCCGTCTGGAACTTAATAAAGTCTGGACGCACGGCATAAAAACAATTTAAAAACAAATGGTAACACTTTATTTGAAGGGGGGTGAATAAGACTGTCATAAACATGACATAACTCCTGTCATGAACATGAATAAGTCTTCATGAATATTTATGACTGTTGTCATAAAGCGTCATTCGGTAAATTATGACACTTTTAATACAAAGTTGACATTATTCAAAATGTCTTTGTTATGACAACTTGACATTAACCAGGAAATCATTACTGATATAAATTTGTTATAAAAGTATTACTGATTGCACTTTAAAAATTAGGTAACTTTATGTTATTAAAGGTAAAGTTTAAACAGTAATGATTTATTGGTTAATGTCAAGTTGTCATAACAAACACTGGTCAAATAAAACAGATGAGTTTCAGTCGATTTATCGTCTTCCATGTTTTTATAAAATGTCTTCAGATTGTTGTGAAACGGAGCTATAAAAACACATTTAAAGGAATTGTTTTTCTACTTTACCTGTAAAAATGATGTTTTCTGGGAGCTGCAGGTTAAAAATCAAACTCAGAACAGATTATTAACAGCTTTCATATTGCAAAAGGTTTTTATTTCAACCGACTGTATTTACAGTACAGGAGGTCAGTTTGTACATAAATAGGCAGTAGTTATAAATATCAGAGGTCTGGCTGGTATAAAATTAAAAAAGGGAATATTTTACAGTATGAACACGGCTTGTTCATCTCTGTCTCTGGTTGTCTGTCCGTTTGAGCAGAAGTCCTCCTGAAGGTGACCTTTGACCCCGAGCCGTGCCTCCATCATGGCCGTTCCTGCCACAGAGGTCGGCAGAACCAGCAGCAGCATTCAGAACGTCCTCAGAGAGAGTTCTGGTCAGAACGCTGCAGCACCGGCTGCTGCTGCTGCACTATGGGGCAACGCTGCCCCCCAGTGCTCAGAGCCGGTACTGACGGTCGGTCCGTTACGCAGAGCCAGCAGAACCTCCTCAGATTAAACTCAGAACTGTCTGCAGAGTCCAGACGAAATGGGATGAATAAAGCTTTGGCATTGTGACCTTTGACCCCCGGTGACCTGAAGAGCGGCCCGGAACGAGGCAGATTTAGCATAAAAGTTTACAAACCGAGTTGCAGAGGGAAACACCTCCAGGAACCGAGGAGAGCCGCTTCCAAGTTCTGGTTCTGGGTCCCGAATGGGACGACTCTGACCCGGAACCGGACCGGCCCGGATCAAACAGAACCGTGTTCAGACGGCCTGGGTGACCTGAACAACGGGATGTCTGGAAAATCTGGGATTCGTTCACACGTTTCCACAGCAACGGCTCCTTAAACGTCACAGACAATCAAGTGTATCCATCCCCCTTTACTCTGATGCCCCTAAATAACAGCAGTCCAGCTCAGGCGGAAGAATCTGCTGCACATAAACTGATGAATGTTTATTAATTATCATTAATAAATTATAGACTATAGTGAGAAACGGTGCTGGCAGCATCATGCTGTGGGGCGAGGAGGAGCCAAGCTCAGAATGATTCTGGAACAAAACCTCCAGAAGACCCTAACAGAAAAAAAACATGCCGCACTTTTTAGATTTTTACATTCATTAAAACACTATGAAAACCAACAGACGACTTTCCTTCTAGTTTGCGTTTTGTGGAGGTTTATCAAACAAAACCATTAAATAAATTAAAGTTTGTGCCTGGAATGCAACAAAGTGAAGCTCATGGGGTGTGAAAACTTTTTCATCCGGAGATTATTCAGATTTTAAAATTCTGTTTTCCAATACAGTCCAATAACGTCACGAAGCAGAACCAGTTCTGGGCCGAGCGCTGGGCTCTGAGGAACTCCACCTGGAATCTGTTGGAGATATCTACGTTTCAAACTGTGAGCAGGTTTAGGAAGCGGATACTTCTGATTCGATTTGTGGCTGCTGGCGATTCTGGATTAAGGCGGCAGCATCTGTTCCTGCTTCCACCAGGTGGCGCTGTTTGCTTATTAATTGCAGAAATGGGTTTAATGTTGAAGCTTCTGGTCATGTGACACGCCGCCATATTGTGAGGGGCATTTCTGCTGAGACGGACAGGAAGTGGGCAGCAGCTCATCAGTTTCACATTAAATCAGTAAAAATCTGCAAAGATTAATCATTTATAAAAATCTTTCCTTCTGCATTCAGTAATAAATCCTCTACAGTTCAAATGAATAATAAATAAAACTTAAAAACAAACATTAAAAAAGCTTCAGAAACTTTGTAGCATAGATGAGCAAAACCCCCCAAAACATTTAGATTTGTTCTGGTTTGAATCTTCAGAAAAACTCTGAGCTCCAGCAGAACGCCGACTGAAACACGGTGGTGGCAGCATCATGAGGCGGCTGCTGCACAGGAATGACAATCATTCAGATCAATCTGAATGATAATTACAGATTTCTGATAACAATTTATTGAATATTTGTTTATATTTTATTATTGATTTAACAAGTTGAATAACTAGTTTAGTAAATTAATTTATTCATTAAATTAATTTTATTAATTTATAAAAAAAATAATTCAACAGTAATTTAATGTAATTATTTATATGTATTCTTAGTCAATTGGATTTAAAATTAATAATAAATTAAAGTATTGATAATTTAATCAATAAAAATGATCATATAATTAATGTTTATTAATTATCATTAATAAATTATAGACTGTTTAAACAAATTAAGCATTTAAATAATACTTTCAGGAGAACAACATGGAAATACAGCTGCTGGTTTTCTGTCTTCAGAGGTTCTTTAAGTTTATATTTTTTTATTTTTCATATTTATTGAGCAGGTTTTGTTTCATTACCATCATTGCTGCTGAATCTAAAAACGACGATCATCTCAGCTGTTCGTCTAGAGCCAGTTTCACAGCAGACTTGCCCCTCACAACATGGCCGACATCCTGACGTGTCAATGTCCCGGGTCATGTTGCATCACATCAGGACGCGTTTCTGATTGGTCGCTGTGGTCCTTGAACTCCAGGAATCTCCACCCACGTCTCCATGACCTGGGACTAAGAACCGGGACCAGAATGGGAGAACCGGGACCAGAATGGGAGAACCGGGACCAGAATGGGAGAACTGGTTCAGAAGAAGGAACTCCTGCTGACGAACCTTCAGTCTGATCCAGTCTTTGCTGGTTTCTGCTCCTCTTCCTCACTCAACATAAAAGTGCTGAAACTTCTTCCTCCTCCTCTTCCTCTCTGATCTGGAGGTTTTGAGTCAGCAGCAGCTGGATTTTGGCACCAGAACCTCAGAACCACGGCTCCCTGATGAGTCTCCATCTGGTCCAGGGATGGCTGCAGTAACACTCCAGAGTCAGCAGGGGGCGCCCTGTGCTGCAGCCAGTGTGAGCGCTCCTCCTCCTCGGGTCGGCGCCGGGCTCCGCCCCTCGTCCTCACAGCGTGGCCAGGATGCGGGAGAAGGAGATGATGATGGAGAGCGAGGTCTGGCCCACGCCGAACACCAGAGCCTCCAGCGGCGCCATGCCCTTCCCCGCCACACGGTACACACAGGCCACCGCCGCGCCTGCAGCACACACACACACACACACACACACACACACACACACACACACACACACACACACAGGAAGTTCTGATCCAACTCGGTCAGGATGCAGATGATCTCACATAAAAACAAATGTAGCTTTTAAAGGATTTTCTAGTTTTCCTTCCACTCAACTTTCCATTACTATTCCAGAATCCTTATTTTTCCTGCTTTCTAAAAAAAATCTTTGCTGGATTCATCTGACTCGGTTTTCACAGGAAGTTGGACTTTCTCCGACCCAGTTAAACTTCTGATCCTGTTTCCAGTTTTTCCAACAATCCCAGTTTAACTTTGAGGGTTTTTCTCAGAGAACCATCAGCCCAGAGCGCCATGATGGTTCTGACCCAGTGGAATCTTCAGAACTTTCTGGATTCTACCAGGTTCTCCATCCATGTACTGCAGACTTCTGCCCAGGACCCCCTTGAAAATGAGATCTAGATCTCAATGGGGTTTACCTGGTTAAATAAAGGAAATAAAAAAAAAAAAAAAAAAATCCAATTAAAGATGTTTCTGTCTCAGCACTTCCTGTTTTCTGGCCAATCAGAGAGCAGAGAGACATGCCCACTCTCTGGTTCTGGAGAAACTGGACCTGAAGGTTTAAAATCCTGAAGTTCTGAAGGCCATCTGAACCGTTCTGTTTGGATCAGAACCAGGTCGTTCTCAGGAAACTGAAAGTCGTTAAAGGATGAAGTGGAAACCCGGATCTCTGACCTTTTCCCTCCACGCTGACATTTCCTTCATCTTCCTCCTCTTCATCACTGCCCCCCCCCACTGCACATTAATAATGAAGAGGCTGAATATTCTGGGAGGGAGGAAGGAAGGAAGGACACATGAAAAAGGAAAGGAGGGAACAAAGGAACCAACTCTTAGAAAATGACAATTAAAATCTTTCTCTAGACTGAACTCTAGAGTCTTCGGGTCTCCATGGCAACACGGGGTCAAAGGTCCAGACATGAACTCAGTAGTTTCTGGATCTTTGTGATGTTTCCTTCCTCTCTACTAATCTCCCTCTGTCTCCCCCTGGTGGCCCTGAACTGAACCACACAGGAAGGGCCTCCTGCAGCCCGCAGCCCCATGCTGCCCACACCGTGCTTCACTTACTTGTGATGACGGCTCCAGAGAGCGAGGCCAGGAAGCCGACGCTGACCAGAACCAGCGTGATGAGGCGGCCCCACCGGTGGCGCTGCAGCATGACCAACATGAGCAGACCGCCGGCGCCGTGGACGAACAGCGAGGAGAACAGACACCACAGGAAGACCCAGTACCACATCTCTGGAGGAGCAGAGGGAGACCAGGGAGGAGGAGAGGAAGGAGGAGAGGAAGAATGGAGAAGAAAAACACGTCAGAACCAAAACATCACCATCTAACATTAACCTGCTTCTAAAGTCAAGGAGCAAAATTATTATTTTACTGGAAGGAAAAAACAAAGACAAAGAAAGGAAATCAAAGAAAGAAGGAAAGTAAAGGAATAAAGGAACAATGCAGAGAAAAAGAAAGGAAAGGAGGAAACAAAGAAACTAACTTTTAGAAATGAGGAATAAAATCTAGAACAATATTTTTTTATAAATACAGTTTTCTGTGATGTCACACTTGAGAGAACTTTGTAGCAGACAGTCATCTTGGTAGATATCTGTAACTAACTCATGGTAGTTGCTATGGCAACAACAAACAATCCATATTCTCCGTCTCATACGAGTCGATCCCGACAGCCGAGGTTTTGTTCATGTGTCCTTCCCTTGTACGTTGGTCCAGAGGGTCAGAGTACTTCCTTTGTTCATCTATGCTTTGTGCTGTGATCGCCTACCAAGATGGCGGTTCAATGCCGCAGATCACTGCCTGTTCAGACTCATGGGAACTATGTATTGATAAAACTGATGAACAAACTGTTAAAATATTAATATGGTAAATAAATCTCTGGATTCAGTGAAAACTTCTTGACATTAAACATGTTTTCATCGGTCCCTCCAGGGTTCTACGATTGTTTTTGTGATCAAAAGCCATGATTTTGTGGTGCTAATTTGGAAACATTTGTAAGATATTTTGCAGTATTTGTGCTTAAAGTATGACAGTAAATGTGAGTTTTTGTTACTCAACATCAGTCACGGACTACAGGTTGACATCAAGTAAACCTGAGGCAGCAGTGGAGTGAAAATGAGAATGCTGCCACCTACAGGTGGGAGCTAGTCACTTAAATCCAACACTTGACCATTTTTGCATAAAATTATCAATAAACTCATAATAATGCAGTAGCATGAAAAAGTGTAGGAATACATTGATTTTGTGTGAATTTTCACAAAGCTGGAGCAACTGATTGATGTCCGGCCGGATTTGGCCCCCAAGCCTCGAGTTTGACATGTGATAGACTTAAATCACCATTTATTTTCTCTTTCTTGGAGAATTTATGTCTAAAAATCTCCAAACACGCCATGTTTCCTCAGGCCTGGAGCTGCAGACCTTGCTGGACCTGGTGTTATGGGCCGTTTGAGCTCCGCAAGTCTCAGTATTTAAATTTCTTCTATTTATGGTTTGCTGAAGTGAAACTGCTCCACCGCACATCTCATAAACAGGAAACTGATTTGTTTAAGCCGCCGGGTGGCTGAGAGGAAGGCTTGCATCTCAATAAGCTGCTGCTTCTCCGCTGACCGCATGCCGTATCTCTGCCACCAGCGGGCCGCTGCGGCTGATCGGCCGGAGCGGAGCATGCATACGTGCAGCGCAGCGGGACTGCAAACTTCTGAGATGCGCTTCTTGCTGAGTCAGCGTCGCACGCTTTGCGTGTTTCTCCACTCAGGATGGAGATGGTGTGAGCACATTTCCGCCTCTGCTGCTGCAATCTTCTGTTTACATGACACACCAACCATGACTCCACGCTGCAGATGGAGAGCCGGCCTTCCTGCAGATAAAATCACTAATGCTTCTGCAGCGGCGGATTCATGCAGATGGGAGTCTGCGTCGTTTGATTTAAAGCGAAATAAAAAAAAAATATTTGACTCTAATGGCCTCATGTGACCCGGAGCTCAGGTTCGTGCCGGACTCTGCAGACAAAGGGAGGATCAGGAGGGTTTACATCCCATAATACCTCATGGCATCCCTGGTTTTCACAGACCCCTCCTGGCTCACCGTTCCCTGGTTTATTTTCTGCTTTAAAATGGACGCGGTGCCGCTCGCGGCGGCGGCCGCGGCGCTCGCTGCCCCCTCCGGCCAGCCGCCCGCCGCTCCCCGCGGGTCCTACCTGTGAAGTCTTTCAGGGTGGCGCCGTGGACCCAGAGGCTCAGCACCTGCTGCACCGACAGGTTCAGGGAATAATCCCGGCTCATGGTTCCGCCGCCGCCGCCGTCGCCCGGGTTCGCAGCCCTCTTTATCGGATAGCTGAACTTGGCTTTGGACGGAGGCATGGAGGAGACCGGGGCGGGGGGGCGCGGAGCGGCTCGCCTCTACCGGTGCCGCTGCTTCGGCTTGACGTCCGTCTCCGCTGCGGGAATGGCAGGGCCGCGGGGTGGTCGGTTGGTCCTCGGCGGTGCGGGCTGTGCGGAGGCCATGATGCGGAGCAGCGGCGGCAGGCGGGCGGGCGCACCGACGGTCAGCTCGTCCTACATCGGCTAGTCCCGCTGCATCATCCTTAAAGGGCCAGCAGCCCTGTGACGGATCCGCTGCCGTAAACCGCTCTGTGAATGGGACTCGGTGCGCAAGCGCAACGCAAGGACGTAAAAAGCGACGTATCTGACAAATATTAATAAAAACATATCAGAGGGTCAAAATTCACAATAAATAATTATCTAAATCCCACACAGACCTTGTAAATCAGCATTTATTTAATATTTTCCAATTAACATTTAGCGTTAGCTGCCGTTTCAGCGTTGCCCTTGACGACGGGTAGATGCAGGAGCTCCCTGATTGGCTGCTGAGGCGTCACTATTTTACGGTTTATTTAAATCCGATGACGTCATTTCGACTTGAAATGAATAAATAATTTTTGTAAAATTATCGTTTGAATCAACAGAACATTTGGTTTTTGAGTGTGAAGTTAATGGTCGGAAGGGATTTTTTACTTTGGAAACGGATCAAATATGGAATTTAAATAAGGAATAAAAAAGTTCAATAGTTGAAATGTTTCACAAAGGTATTAAAAATGAAATTTTAATATTCTGTAAATCTTAAAAATAAATAAATAAATAATAATAATAATAATAATAATAATAATAATAATAATAATAATAATAATAATAATAATAATAATTATACAGCCACTGGAATCAAACTTTTCTTGCTTAACTCAGAATAAACCCTGGTTTATTTGATTTATTTAGCTGTTCTTTGGTTTATATATTTTGCTATTAATTGTAGTTATACCAATGTCTTATACTTCATGTGTCTTAGTAATTAGGGAGGAATATCTAAGATATATTATCTATACAGAATGGTAAATGTGAACAGGTTGCTCAAAGGGTTTGGTTGGTTCCACAGCAGCTGGAGACGAGCAGATGCTGCAGTTTTGTTTTGTCTTTTTCTTTCTTTAGTTTGTTTTACCAAAGCAATTCTATCAATTCAGAAAATTATAACATTTCATAAAAGATTCAACCTACACATCTTCCACATTTTGAACTTTTAGATTCTAGCTAGTTTTGCAGATGAATGTAAATGACTAAACAGATGAATGAGGCAGACCCGACCGGACCGGACCGGTAGAACAGAGCCGTGTAAAGTTTCACAGGGTTCTGCTGTTTGTCCTGCAGCCGGTGGGAAGCGGAGAGGAAACCTGCTGCTACGTAGATCCGTGATGTTCTGGAACATTTCTCTGAGGAGCGACGAGTATTTTAAGAAGAGCTGACCCAGTTCAGACGCGCAAAGAAGCGTCTGACACCGTTTAGATCGACACAGCTTCCTCTGCAGGCAGAGTTCAGCTTCAGGTTCAACGTCCTGAAAAACCCAGTCAGAACCAACAATCTGTTTTAGATGACAGGTTATTCAGGAGCACAGAAAGAACCGTCCTGAGTTTACAGGTGAGTCTTTAACGAGGAAAACTGCTGGTTCAGTTTCACTGCATGACATCAAACAGATGCTCATAGGAAACCAGCTGGATGTTTCTGAGGACGGGGAGGATTCTGGGAAACCGTCAGCACTTCGCTTTGCAGAGAAAATTTACTCCCGTTTCAAACCAGGTCGACCTCCAGCTCACATCTGCTGACCCTGTGACCTTTAACACCTGGTGACCTGATGACAGGAAGGTTACTTCCTTCCTTTCCTGCTTTGTTCCTTTCTTCTTTCCTAGGCTCCTTCCCTCCTTCATTCCTTCCTTTTTAAGTTTCTTCCTTGTCTTTCTTTGGTTCCTTCCAGTGCAGCCAGAAATGATGAAGCCTATCACAATAATCAATAAATCAATTAACCGCCCGATAAGTTCAGTTTGCATGATTTATCATTTTTCTCTTTTCTCTCTTTCTACCACAAACTGGATGATAAAAGTTTTCAGTTTGGTGTTTTGGTCTCAACTGGCTTCGGTTTTTAAGGATAATTTTGTTTACAGACTTTATGACTCATATTATTTGTTGTTTCTGTTGTTTTGTTTATTTATTTTAGATATTTAAAATGTCTTTCAGTGTTTAATGTTCATTAGAATTTAAAATGTATTAATTTGAGAATGTGTTCTTGCATTATTATGCCATAATTACCATTATAATACCGGAAATGGTCTCAAAACAGCAATATAGTTCATCACAATAGTGAACAATAACTGAATCTATATTTTAAAACGGTATCTGCTGCTGAAAGTTGATTACCAACCAAGGCAAATATCCTCAAAATCTGAACCTAAAAATTAACCAAATATGAAAAAACTAAAACCACTGACCAATAAAAACTAAATATTTAACTTATAATAACTAATAAAAATGTGCAAACACACTCTAAAGAACTCACTGAATTAGACAAAAAGTCCCAATGAAATGAAACTAAAGTGCAATGAAAGCCCAGAAGTACCCCTGGTTCTGATGGGTTCTCCGGGTTGGAGCGATTCCCGGCTCGGCCAGCAGGTGGATTCCTTCTCCTTGTTTTCCAGAGGAAACGTTTCCACAGAGGAAAACTGGTTCTGGTTCTGAGTGGCTCTGGGTCGTGGGGATTTTAGTGGTAACCGGATCCCAGCGGGAATCAGTCAGGTTCTGTTCGGACCTGCGGCTCTTTGGAACCGGTTCACAAAGCTTTTCTCTTCAGCTCACAGATTTCCATCTTTTTGTGTTTCTTTTTTTCTGTAACTGAATCTGAGCAGAGAGGAACATCTGAGAGTCCTGACGTCTTCCTGCCAGTCTTTGTCTCCATGATGCCCCTCCTCCCCCCTCTTACCACCTCAGACAGGTGTGTCTCCTCTCAGGTGAGTCATCACAGCAACAACAATATGAGCTGACTGGGTTTGAGTTGACCGGGTCAGAACATCTTTGATCGCCTCAAACTGGCATCTTGAACTGGTGGTTGGACCAGTGGTTGGAAACCACTGGTCAGACCAGATCTCGGTCCGACAGAACTCCTGTGGGACGTGGAGCAGGAGGCTGATAAAACCGCACATTAATAAATGATCAAATATTAATAAATAGCTAACCCTAACCCTGATCAATAAATAATAATTAAGCATGCAATCTTTATCTTTACGGTTCTATTTAGGTTGTAAACTAGAGCCCAGAGGGCCACATAAAAACCTGTAGTGGGCCGGATTTGGCCCGTGGGCCTCCGGTTTGACATGAGTGAACATGGTATTTAGCGGAAGCTAATGCTAATATGCTACATTAACATGGTATTTAGCGGAAGCTAATGTGCTACATTAACATGGTATTTAGCGGAAGCTAATGCTAATGTGCTACATTAACATGGTATTTAGCGGAAGCTAATGCTAATGTGCTACATTAACATGGTATTTGTCCTTCGTGGTTTAGATATGTCCCTGATTTTCATGTCCTCAGCAGCCATGAAGTTCTGCGGAGGTCCGCTCCTGAACCAGTCGTTACATTCAGGTGGGTCAGAACCAGAAAACATCTCAACCCCACAGGTTTGGTTCAGCAGGTGATAAACAGGTGATCAGATGTGATGAGAAACATCTAAAACATGAAGAATGTTGCTCTGTGACATATTGTTTAATCTGGGTTAAAACCAGCTATTGGTGCTCAGTTCAGATTATTAACCAGTTTCTGTCCCTGGAATCCCAGTTGGAGCGGACTGGGACGTTAGAGGCTGGTCCTATGAACGGTTTGGCTCTGACAGGTGGACAGAGCAGGGTTTGCTGCTGGGGTGCAGCGGGGCGGGGTCTGCGGTTCCCTTTGACCGGCTGCAGGATCACACGCCGGGGGTTTCTGCTTGCTTTGATGGCTTCTCTAGCGGCAGGTGTTCATAACAAACCCGGCTGCGTTTGAAGCAAACGGAGGTAAAAACCAGAGCCACAGCCAGCAGGTTGATCTGGAGCTGCTCGTCTGGAAAACTGTCCCAGTTTCTCTGGGAAGCAGCGAGTGGAGGCGGTAATCTGCTGCAGCGAGCGGTTGCCTGATTAAAGGGAAGACGTCTCTTTGAAGAAGTGACCGATGATGATGATGATGATGATGAGCTCCAGCTCCTCCAGTGAGGAGAGGACGAGCTGATTCATGTCGGCTCTCTCATTGAGGAAAGCGGCTCCCTGAGGGCCCAGAGTTTCTGTTTTGGTCTGTGTCGGGTAATTTACTTGTCCTCGTTAATAACGTTCTACTCTGATGGGTTTTTATTGGAAGGCAGCAGCAGAACCAGAATGTTGTGGTAATGAAATGAGCGGCTGCTGCTCAGATGCGGCCAGAAGCGAATGCCTAACAAGTTTACATTCCCTCATCACTGGCAGAAGGTTCCTGTTTATCCTGGACCTTTAATGATTTATATGAACCAAACTTTTTCCTGATCATCCAACAAACAGCTGCTAGAAGGTTTAAAGTTTGTATTTATCTAAGATTTACACATAAATGACACAGATTAAATTAGATAAGATCAATTAACAGGTAAAAATGTTTTAGGATATATTATGGCCTACAGTAAGGGTGTCCAAAGTGTAGGCTGGGGGCCATTTTCGGCCCACTGACCGACTGCTTGTGGCCCGCCACAGCAGGAGGGTGATGCAGATGGAGACAAAATTACTACTGACTACATAAAAGTTTCTACGATGGAAAATATTGAGCACAACACAAAGTATTTCAACAAATATCTCTCTTTAATTTCATAGAAACTATTTATTTATCAACTGATTTCTACTTAGAGACAAACTTTAAAGAACCCAAAGCTGCTTTATGTAATTTATTAAAACACATTTTATACGTTTAAGCACTTTTAAAGACAGTAACCCAAATCCTGTTCTTATTGCTTCTTCAACCCTTTAAGACGTAAAGCCAGTCCCGTCTGTGGATGTTCTGATGGAGTTTCAGCCAATAAACAACCTTAAATCTGGATGTAGAGATGGACCTGAACCTGCAGAGCCACATAAAGACGGTTACAAAGTCGGCCTTCTATCACCTGAAGAACATTTCCAGGATTAAAGGACGAATTTCCCACAAGATCTAGAGAAGCTCATCCATCTTTAGTTGCACTGATCACTGCAACAGTGTCTACAAATGTCAACCAGACAGGTAGGCCTGTCGCAATAAACAATAATCAATTAATCGCATGATAAATTAAAACAAGCTCAATTTCCATTTGCATGATTTATAATTTTTCTGAACTGGATGAAAAAAGTCTTTAGTCTGAATTAAATCAGCATCAGAACTGAGGAAGTCCTGCTGAAGGCACAAACGCCTCCCAGCCTCCAGTAAGCATGATGGTAATCTGTAAAATGGTTGCTTAGCTGCAAGAAGCAGAAATGCAGCGAGTGAATGCAGCCAGCGGAAGGTCCTAATCTGAAACTTCGCTTATTCCAGCCGGCTGCCCCAGGAGACCCGTATACATCTCAGCGCTGCGGTAATTTGTCTGGAAGTCGGGAAGCAGAGGAGCAGACGCCAACGGTATGCAGCCGATGCAGACGAGTCCAACACGGAAACTTTTTGAGTCAGTGGAGCAGCCAAAGCCGTCCGGACCTAACAGAACTATCAGTGTCTGGATCGGCTCGTCCTGATCCGAACGTTTACATCACACTGCTCTGCTGCTCAGCTCCAGGTGAGCTGATGTCAGATCTTATCCTGACCAAACAGCTCAGATAAGGAGACTTCAGACGGAGCCGAGGACACACACCTGAACTCCAATCTGTCCATCTTATCTCCTCACTGAGTCCATAAACTGCAGACAGAGACAGACTGGCTCTGTGAACCGTCTGTACATCCAGGATCCCAGTTTCTCATGTAGAAATCAGAATTTAGAAACCACTGCTTTGGCTAAAGTTAGCCGAACATTAGTCTGTTTCTCTGCATCAAAACATTCAAATAAGTATGAATATTCCATAAAATCAGATGTTTTGAGTCAACGTAAATTCACAAAACCTTCAAATAAGGTTGAATATTCTGTAAACTAATTGATGTTTTCAGTAAATTTAGCATTATTTTCACATCAGGATATCATTTAATAAGTTTTAAAACCGTTAAAAGCACTGTTTTTAGCTTAGCATAACAACTGAATCTCTTCCACTTTCTTTCTAACGAGAAGCAATAAAATGAGCTCTGTGTTGCATGCTGCACGGCAGCTCCTGCTGAGAAATGTGCTCAGCTTTTTGGTGCAGTTGACAGTTTCTTGGATAAATGCACAGAAACATTGAAATAAAAACTAAAGAAATATAGATCTGGTTGCAAAAAACAACAGAACAGAAAAATCTGTGGTGAGAAGCTATTTTAGCAACAGAAAGAATGTTGTTTGCCTTGTTGTTATGTGCCGCGGTAAGACGTGACAGACCAAATGCGATTTATGAAACAAGCCCTCTGAGTTTATTTTTGTACTTTATTTTGGAAGAAATATAGCAGAAAACAAACAAAGCCACCCACAGGAAAACCTCTGGCACAGCAACCAAAACACAACTGACATTTTCACGTAATCCCGCTTCATGTTGGAGTTTAAACACACGGAAAACATTAAGATCCCAGAAAACAACCGACTGCTGACTGGAAAAAAAACGAGCAACATCTTCCTGATCTCACAGCTTTAACGGTAAGCATATTTGTTTACCAGAATATGACATACAGACTTTATTGTACATAAAAATGACTGCTCTCTGTTTGTTGTCAAGAGTGGATAAATGCTTTCGCTTCAGGCTGAGCTGAGGTCAGTTTGAGGAAACGTAAATCATTTGTGTGTTTAGTCAACCTGAGTCATTCCTGGATAAAAGGACAAAAGGAATCCTTACAGATAAACGGGTCGGAAACAGAACCTGCCCTCAGACAACATCCGCTCATCCTTAACTGGAGCAAAGCGTACGAGTCGATGCAAAGATCATCCCCAAACCCACGCAGAGGTTTTCCTGTGAACTGGTGAAGTTGGTGTGAGTCACGCTGAAACGCAGCAGCGTTTAGACTAAACAGAACTCGTAGTACTCAGAGCGCTGAGGTCATTGGAGGCCCGAATCCCGCAGAGCTATTTCTGTTCGCTCTTCCCATAATGTGGCCTCCTCATTCCTGCACCACACATGGACACAATCAGTCACCTACACAAACACTGCTGGACTTTACCCATAAAATCCTGAAAACACACACACACTGCTGCTTACTCACCATTAACATCTTCACATTAAGGCTATATATAACACCAGTTTACAACTTTTCCACTGTACTCTGACTTAGTTACTTTTATTTCCATGACCAAAATCAAGAAATATGCCTTGAGAAAAAAAAGAAACGAGCTGAGAACGCATCCACAAGTTTCCAGAGTTGTAGCGTTGTGTTTGGGAAGCTGAACTCAGGTGTGAAACACCAGCTAGCAGCTAGCTAGAAAGGGTGTGTTAGCAGTGAGTTAGCGGTAGCCTCAACCTTCACAGAACGTGATCAAGATGTCTAAATGTGGCTCAAACTTTTTCCGACAGAAAAATCCCATGATAAAAAAACACTACATAGAATATATGAGGTTAAATTGTCCTGTCCGGACAAATTTAAGACTTTTTGTCAACATGTTAAAGGACAACTCAATATTTAAAATGAATTGAAGACATTTTACGGAGTCATGGACATCCTGTCTTTGAATGCACAGAAGCTGAATTCAGTCTCTCCTGGTGCTGTATCATCTTTTTATTTTTAAATTCGTTCAGTTTTCTCTATTCCTTATGTTTTCTTTAACTGTTACATAACATTATTTGCTGCAGAGATTTTGTAGTCAAAGTTCAGGGATGAAAATGGTGACAAACAACGTTATTCTAGGTGTGTATTCCTGTTCGTTGACGCGACGTCCTGGCTGTTGTTTAGCTCATGCTAGCACTGCGCGCTAGCAGTTAGCTCCTGGAGGACAGAACCGTTCTGCCCGTTTTGAATAGTTTTATTACATGAACAGTCTGGTGTTTTTGTCTGTGGGAACACATAATCCAAATCCATTCAGAGATGTTCTTGGTGGTAGCGTTAGCTAAGTCGCTAACTATGTTTAGGTCTTACAAGATTTCAACTTTTCCACGATGATCCGATGGGTCCCTGGGTTCTGAATGCACGTCACGCGTTTCCACTCAAATCTGGGCTTCAAGTGTCAAAACTTGGAAAATCCAAGATGTTTAAATACTTCTGCATTGCGTCACAATGTTTTCCTGAACTCATCGCCTGAAGGTGGAGAAATTCCTTGGTAACAAACCATTTAGCAGTGACTGAAAGCTGAAGGAGTTTCAGTAAATCATTCCTCTGAGTGATTTCATTTCCTGAAAGGAGCTCTGATCAGCTTTCGTTTCATGCCTGGACAGTTTAACGGGACCGGTGCAGGCAGGGCGTCATTCCAGGTGAGCTGGGAATTTACTCCAGCAAGAACGGAGACAGAACTCAGATTAATTATTTACCAACCGGGAAGAAAGCAGCTGTAGACGTAGGTAAGAATCCACCGGCTGAGATCCATCTGACATCCCTCACAGATCTGATGCTGTTGGTATTTTTGTGGTAGCACTGATCCACTGCAAGTCATCAAACTGCAAACGAGTGACGTAGAGCTTGTTGAACTGATTGCAGCTTCCTGGCGGATCGCAGATCTTCAAAAGCCTGACCTAATTAATACAGATTTTTATTTTTGGAAAAGGGGCAGTATCATGTATTCTCCAGGCACATATCATTTTATAGCACAATCAAGTAAATATCTTTACTTCAGTTATTATAAAAATGCTGTATATTTCAAATGACTTAAAAGAAAATTACTTCCTGATTTAGCTCCTTTAAATCGGGCCTCTGTCTCTTTAAAAGCTCCTGCTCTTTCTGAAACTCCGCCTTCAGGAAGTCAACCCAACATGGCTCCTCTGTTAACAACATTTTCATGTCATGCAGTTCCACCAGGTGTTTGCTAATTGCTGCTGGCTAGTCTGCAGGAGCTGACTGGGGAAGGAGTTCTGAGGAGGAGCTGCGCCTTGAAGGCGGAGCTTTGTCCACCCAGGTGTTCTCCACAGCTGAATGGTTGCCATGGAGATTAAGAGATTTCTCAACATGTAAAGAATCAAAGTAACCCTCCAGGTGAGCTTCTGATGAGGGAATAACATTATTAATGATGGAAAGTTCAAAAACGTAGATTTTACACGACACCGCCCCTTTGGTGACACTGACCTCGGCTAACCGCGCACATGGCCGATTTCCAGGCCTGTTGGAGATTGGTTTCAAACGGCCCCCAAGCCACAAACAGTGCCCGGGCCGCAAATGGCTCACGGGCCGCAAATGGCCCCCGGGCCACAAACGGCCCCCAAGCCACAAACAGTGCCCGGGCCGCAAATGGCTCACGGGCCGCAAATGGCCCCCGGGCCACAAACGGCCCCCGAGCCACAAACGGCCCCCGGGCCGCAACCGCCCCTTGGCCGCAAACGGCTCCCGGGCCGCAAATGGTCCCCGGACCACAAACGGCTCACGGGCCACAAACGGCCCTCGAGCCACAAACGGCCCCTGGGCCGCAAATGGCTCATGGTCCGCAAATGGCCCCCGGGCCACAAACGGCCCCTGGGCCGCAAATGGCTCATGGGCCGCAAATGGCCCCCGGGCCTCAAACGGACCCCGAGCCACAAACGGCTCCCCGGGCCGCAAATGGCCCCCGGGCCACAAACGGCCCCTGAGCCACAAACGGCTCACAGGCCACAAATGGCCACCTCTTTGGACTTTGGACACCCCTGATTTAGGGCTTCACTGTGAAACATTTTCCCTCCACTTCCAGAGTGAAACATTTTCGAGACTGTCCGTCTCCTCGTCCATTTCTGTGGATAAATTTGCCGTCTGGTCCGTTCAGCTCGGCTGATCCCGGATGCTTCGGGTCGAGCCTGAGGCTGGAACTGGACCGGAGACGACAGGATCAGGCCGAGCCGTTCCAGGCTCCCTGTGAGAGTATCAGCAACACGCTGTGGGCACGGCAGGCCGGACCGGCCACGCACAGCACATCAGCTTTCTGCTCCAACATGTGGTATACTTAGCAGAACCTTGGTGCGTTCTGGATCCGCGCTGAGCTCAGGGGGAAGGCATGCAGGCCTGATTGGGGCTCAGCTGACTCACAGGGAGGCCGCCGTCTTCAGAGCGCGGGCTGAGTCAGACTGAGGGACAGAGACCCGATCTACTGATTCTCCTCATGTTTCCCTTCTGACAACGAGACAAAACCAAAGGTTTTATTCATAGATGAGCCAGAAAAGGCGTCAGATTCCCAAAAACCACGGCTGTTTGTGAAAAAATGTTTAAGAAAATACCAGGATGTGATGAAGAAAACAAGCTAGTAATATAAAGCATCGCTTCTCTCGGCACAATGGGAGACAATTTCTGCTTCTAAACGATCTGATTGGACGCAGGGATGAACTTTTGCTGTGCTAACAGGAGTTAGCCTCTCAGTGTAGCTATGCTAGCCTAAAATAGCATCATGCTAACCAGTTTGTGTAGCATTGTCAGGAGATCAGGTCATTTTATTACCAGAATAAAGTCGTAATAAGAGAATAAAGTTACAATAATACAATAATAAAGTTGTAGAAATGTAAAATAATGTTGCAATAACACCAGAATAAAATCATAATAATACGAGAGTAAAGTTATGATATTACCAGAATAAAGTTACAATAATGCGAGGATGAAGTCGTAATATTAGAAGAATGAAAGTAATTTTAGTTATATAAAATAATTAAAATGAGGAACTTTGAGCTTCTATTGAAGTTATACTTTGGTATCATTTTACAGATGATCTTTTAATACATCAGATTATTACAAGTAGCAGAACTTTGAAGTGATTGTTCACAGACTGACAGAAGCTTTTTTGTTTTTTAAATGACTTTTTGTTCTTATTGAATAACTTTAATCTGGCCTGAAAGATTGTGAGTTAGTCTGGGTTTAATATTTCCTCTTACCTTCAAACCCCTGGATGCAAATAAAAGACATCAAATCCAAGGATTTAAAGAAGTGGTAAGTCTTTCCTGGTTTGGCAGCACAT